CGCTGCCTTTTTCAGAGTGAAGCAGCCCTACAAGGGCCGCACAGAAAGGTCTTTCATCTACACCTGCTGGTCAGGGCAGCTCTCGGCTACTGGCAATGGCAAAGGGCCGGGGGTGGGGGGTTGGGGGGCGTTAAAAGGGCGAAGGGCTCATGGTTTTGGAACACAAGGGGGTGAGGGAAAGCTGGGTGTGGGGGGGCAGCCCGAAGGAAGCGCTGGTGTGAAAGGGAAGGGGGTGGGGATGAGAACTTCAGCGCTTCCTACTTTTTCTTGCAGTGTCTGCAGCTTGAGAGGGAAGAGGGGGGCTCTGACCTGAGATGCTATGTGTCCTCTTGGGGGCCTGTACCCTTTCTTGAGCCACTGGTCCCCAGAGTTCTCTGTTTGAACATCGTCCCCTCTCTGCCCCGGGGCTGAGTGCATAGAAGGGGCTCTGCTGGAGACGGGACCAGGGCACTCGCTAGACCGCATGGTGGTGGTGGTGGTGGTGGTGGGGGCAGGTGGACACTAGTTGAACCCTTGAGTGGAGGGAGCAGATGCTGAAGTTCTCTGGAGCCATCCAAGGAACAGAGTCGGCCCCATGCTCTCTCAGGCCCCAAACTGGTTGCGGGCACAGCTGATCTGCCCCAAAGCTCACAGGGCCCCCACCTGGAGGCCGAGGCCAGGCCGCACCTCCTCCCGTCCGACTCCAGCCCCTGCAGGGACATCTCTGAATGGGAGCGAGGGAAGGACTTCTGTTCACCGAGGCCCTACTGTGTGCCAGGCTCTAGCCGAGTGCCTCACACACTTTCTGACTGAACCCTCCCCACGGCAGATGCAACAGCAGCTCAGAGGGTGAAGCAGCTTTTCCAGAGTCACCAGCGCCTGAGTGGAATCCGGGCTCGGTAGCTCTGTTCCTCTCCCGCTCCCACTGCCTTGCTGATGGAGGCCCGCCGACACCGCGGTCTCGCTACCTGTTGGGGGCAGGGGGCCAGGCCAGCCTGTGTGCGCTCCTAGGGCCCCAGGTTCCTGCTGGCTCTTGAATGCCTGCCTTCTCTGCAGGGACTTCCTCCGTTGGCATCCTTGTGCTGAGTTAGAGGGAGGAGAGGGGGAAGGGAAGGATCAAAGGGAGGTCAGCTCAAGCCCTGGGAAGTCACCCCTGCTGGCTTTCTCCTGTAGGACTGAGGCTAGGGGGAGACTGTCGGCGGGGTCCAGGCTGCCTGGGCGCAGAGCCCAGCAGGAGAGCATCAGCTCTGACTGCTGGACCACTGGGTGTAGGGGGCAAGCGTGGAAAACCGGAGTGCGACCTGGGTAGGGACAAGACGCTCATGACAAACTGCTGGGGACTTTTTGGTGCTTCATTTTCACTTCCCCAAAGTCCTCCTGCCAGGCCCAGGGGACCGGGTGGGGTTTTCCATGATGACTTCCTCCACGGCTCCCCTGGTTAGTCTGTCTCCCTCAAGCTCTTCCACTGCCCTGATGGGCTTGGGCTTTCCTGGAACCTCACGTGGGGCCTGTCCCAGGGGCCTCCTCTGGGGGGACACTGCTGGGGTTCTCTCCCTCAGAGACAGCAGGCACAGCTGGGTTCTCAGGGGCTTCTGGGGTGGGATCTGTGGATGGAGCAGAAGAGACTTCATCACAGGGGCTGGGGGCTGAGCCGGCAGCGGGTCCGGGGGTCTGGGCCTTAGGGGCTCACTTGTGGCTGGGCCTCATGGTTCACCTGTGGCTGAGCTGAGGAGTTCAGCTGAGGCTGGACCACAAAATCTGAATGTGGGGGGGGCCCCAGAATCCAACTGTGGCGGTGCTGTGGGGTCCACCTGTGGGGGGGCCACAGAATCCAACTGTGGC